ACGTGGTTCAAATCCACCAGATGCTCTGCTGGAGAAGGAGGGGGCAATCTCCTCCTGTACCAGTCAGATCTGATTTGACAGTATACATAAAAATAATACAATAAAAATTTAAAAAAATATTGCTTAGTCATGTGCTAGCCTAGTCTATGATTAAATGAAAATCAGTAGGATCTGTAATTTGTACCAAAATATGAAGAAGAGAACGGAAATTTAAAAAAAAAAAAAAAAAGTGAGCCGGAATGTATATAAGACAAAACAAACTCACTGCCATGGAGTCAATTGTGACTTATGGGCAGAATTTTGATGATTCCTCTGTTCGAGTCGGACTGCTCCATAGAGTTTTCTTCTTGGCTATAATCAACAAAGCATATTGCAAGGTTTTTCTTGGAGCCCTAGGTGGATGTGAACTGCCTATGTTTAGGTTGGTAGTCAATCACAAATCGATTGTACTACCCAGAAAAGCACTGTTTAAGATGTGTTGTGTGCTTGTTATTAGGACTAAGGGAACAGACACTAGCAGAGACAGCAAGGGCCTTGCCTCATGTGCTAAGGCTAAGGTGTGGGCAGTCTGGAAGCCGTGATGACAGGCCCTGCAGAATAAACAGGCCTAACTTCTTCCAGGAAATCACCTCCCTTGCAGAGCTGGCAAGTGGCCTGGAGGGAAATATAACAGAGGTCATATGATCATTATTTTTCCCAGGTGAGGAAGAAAGACAACTCCCCAGGGGTGCCAGCATACCAAGTGTGTGAGGATAAAGCGTGAGGTGACCTGACTGATTGGGGCACAGGGCCTTTGGACCTTCTTTCAAATTCAAATGCTATCCAAATTTTGATCTCACAGATAGATAATCCTAGTGTAGGTCAGTAAGTAGTAGTTGTCTCCAGAAATAAACAAGGCTGAAGAAGTCCTCATGGTTATACTCTGTGAGGCATTTGGATGCCAACTAAAAGTTGTGATCTACTGGCCATGTGTTGGTTAAGACTGACAGGTTTGGAAACCCAATAGATGGCCATGAGTCAGAAATGATGTATCAGTAGACTGGACTTTGGGCTCTGGGTAGGAAGAGTACTCCTACTTTGTGGGAAGAGATTGCTGTTGAGCAAGAAGTATCCCCCCATGGAAAATGCTTTGGGGTTCCTATGTGGTTACCCCATGTTGACAGTTGGTCAGGTAGTTCTGCTCCTCAAAAGGCTGCTGGAGGAGCGGGGAGATGGCTCCACTGTCCCAAAGAACCCCTGCCTTCCTCCTCACAAAATCTGTGAACACACTTTATCCCATTTTCCACGCAGACAAGAAACTAGGAAATGTTAGACTGCAGCCTAATATTTTTATGTAAGTGACAGTTTTCCTCACAGATGGCCTTGTCATCATAGTAGGCAAGGATATGGAGGAAGTCTTGCCTATGGTGGAAGTCGTACTATAGCTTTTATTTTTATTCTTACAAACAACTGAGATGTTTCACATACATTTCATTGAAAAGAATACTAGATTATTTATGAACTTCTAGATTCCCTATTTCCATCTTCCCCTCACACTCCTTTTAAATCTCATACTTAAGAACTTAAGTTTAAATGGAAAAAAAATAATTTACATTATTTAGATATTGCATGTAAAAATAACTGAGGAAAAAGAAATTAAAATTTTGTTAATTCAGTGTAGTTCCATTGACCTCATTCTTTAAAACACATGATAAAAGCTATATTTAAAAGCCTCACTCGCACATTAATTTATTAAGTAGGCAAAATACAGTGACGGTCTGCTCTCCTGTACCAGCATTTTCTTACCATGCTATCAATAATTAAACCATAGGTCACATGTGTTACGTGAACTAAACAGTCTTTCCCAGATGAATCATTCTGAAATTTTCAACTCATCCATTTATTTTTCAAAATACAACAAAGGAAATGCAAATGCTGTGAAAGCAAATCGTTACCCCAGAATAAAGCGACTGTGTTAGCAATACAGACTAACAAAATAGCAGGGGTGATTAATCTTCACTCACAAAGCTCTGGACTTGAGTGTATTTGCTCAGACAACATGATCCATCCCTGGAGCACTTGCAGACAGCGCCAAGAGTCTTCAGATATGGCTAGACGACTGGGGGCTTTTTAACATGCACTTTCTGGGCACCAAGACAGGCTCTGCTCTTATTTGCACACCAAACTGACATTAATGGTGTACTGAGCTTTTCTTAAAGGTGGGGACAAGGAGCAGCCACGACCTCCATGCCCCATCAACCTGCTGGTTTGCGGGAGAAAACCCAACATGGAAGAAATCCTTTCTATTTCACCTGGAAATAGTTTGTTTCTTTTCCAGAAAGAATAAGCAGCTAGGAAGCCAGTTTTTATGTAACTCAGGTGTGATTAACATCAGGCTCCTACTCCCAGGCCCCAGGCACTCTTGAGTTCCCTGACCCAGTGGGTGCAGGAGGCATGATCGTTTTTTGCAATAGTTCTTGACCATGTATGACAAACAGCCTGGAGTGGTTGCTATCTCAATGCCAGCTTACCTGTCTTGCAGTTCTCATCAGTTCAGCATCTCCAGATGTGCAGCTCCAAGGTCTCCAGGGTGTGGAGCTAGGAGGCAAGGAGCATGAGAGCTGTGTTTTTCCTGCTGGTGTGTTTCAGAATCATATCACAAGAGTTATCATTCTGATCATTTCTAGTATCTGCCTAAAAATGAATCATTGAGCCTCAGGCCTGTGTGGAAAGCAGAACCACCTGTTGTTTTCTATCCTCGGCACATTCCCAACACACTGCCTTCATTCTGTTTTGAGAATAACTCCCGAATCTGACACGGTTATCAGGGCACACACTGTTGGAAACATTTCTCTCAACTCAGAATTCCTCGCTGTAGCTGGCAGTGGGGGCGGGGCTACTCTGTCACTGCAAATTTCGACCACACCTCTTCAGTTATTGAAGATCGTGATTCTATAAAGTTCTATGACTGCGAGCAAGGGGGGATCTGTTTCTCTTCCCTGGCTGCCTGGCGCATTCAACCCTTTCAAAAGGTCTAACTGACGTCGCACACTCCCCACTTCCCCGTTCTACTGAATTTCTCTAAACTCTAACAGTGCGCTCTAGTGGCTTCTGGTTGTTGTTACTGCGTACTCTTTAGTGGGAACTGACTCTCAGCTGACCCTCTAGCGGGTTTTCAGAAGCAGTAAGTCGCACAGGAGGAGAATGCCCATCCTTCTCCCACGGAGCGGCTGGGGGATTTGAACCTAATGCCTTCCATTTGGCAGGGCAGCTCTTCCCACTCGGTCACCAGCTGATGGCTTAGTGGTGACGTGTTGCGCTGCCAACCCAAAAGTACGCAGTTCGAGTATACTTGCTGTTCCACAGAGAAAGATGGGCTTGTATGAGCACCTGCCTCTAAAAACCCACGGGAGAGTCAACTAGGGGTCAGTTTTGACAGGACGGTACATATCAACAACAACTACTGCATTTTAAAAGGCTGGTGGTTGGAGCAGTGAAAGCCAACCCTCCAGAACAAGTTCTGGTGAAAGTCAACCTAGGTCCCTTGCAAAACTTACTTTGGGATGCTGGAATTTGGTGTTTGCTTTCCGGGCTGGATGAATTTCGTATCTATAAAAGTGAAGTGTTGACCCATCTTGCCAAGTCCTGCCCAAGCTGAGGCTCCGTGTGGGGTCACTAGGACTCTGTGTCCCCTCCGTCTTTTAACTAAGGATTTGACTTGGCATCGCGATGGGACTGGATGTGGAGCGCGGCGGCGGCCGGCTCAGCCGGAGCCCTAGGCTCGCAGCGACCCCAGCACCCCTGTTTGCTGCTCTGTTGTGCACCGACTACCGCATGCCTCTCTACCCGGGTCCTGGGGATGCCCTCACCTCTGTGGTCCAGCCGGCGGCGGAGGCCTTCCAGGACCGTCCTCGGGACAGTGAAAGCCGCGTCCGCGCGCCTCCGGAGCCCCGGCCGCAGCCTCGGGTCGCATGGTGCGCGCAGGGCCCGCGCTCCTCCAGAAGCTCCAGCGAATACCGCACCTTCTCGCTCCGGGCCAGGGAGCACACCTACCCCAGAGCTCCGCTCCAGGTTTAAAGCGGGGACGGGGAGGGCTCTCGGGAATGGGGGAAGGGGCGGGGAGGGGACAGAAGAACAGGGGGAGGATAAGGAAGCCCGGAACTGGAAGGGACAAACAGGAGTAGGGACGCCGCAGATGGGGGCGAATGAGGGTATTAGGGGCCCCCAGGGCAGGGTTGGGGATGGGACACGGGAAATCAGAGAGGGAATCTCTCATGGAGTGGAGAAGCTCAGGGCGGGAACGGCAGGAAACCGCAAAAGAAACTCCAGGAGGGGGCGGGCCGCGGGCGCGTTGGGAGCGCGCTCCAGGCTTGCGCTGCGGAACAGCACGAGTCTGGCTTCTCTTTGCGCCCGGCGGACTGGTTCTTAGGCAAGCATGTAAGCCCTCAGGGCAATTTCACTTCCACCTGTCTAAAGTGGTGTCTGAGGCAGTGCGTGTGTCTCGTACCCCATGTGAACCCCCTGCTTGCAGGGTTGTGAAGTTACATTGAGGCACCCTGGCGGCGGCAGGGGACACCACGATGCCCAGGCGCCAGAGGCAACGCTTCCAGAGTTTGGAGGCCCACACAGAGGAGGGAGCGAGAGCGAGTGCGCCCCACGAGAACACCTTTTCCGCAGATAGGGCTTTGGAAAAGGAAGCGAGTTGCGGGAATGTGCATCCTGGGGTTAACCCCGAACCTGGTTTACGAAGAGCCTTAGGAGGAGGCGCTCCTGTGCCAGACCCGCTGCACTGCCCGGCCCGGAGGACGCTTCCTACTGTGACCTCAAAAACGCCGCTGCCACCGCCACCAGGAAAGAAGGAATAAGACTGTCATCTGACAGAAAAATGTTTGAGGAGGACGGGGAGGGACTTCAGGATTCCTTGCTTAAATAGAATAGGCTCTTCCGCGCGTCACTGTCGCTGCGTTTAAGAACGAAGTCTGCTTTACAGAATTTAATTAATTGGGGAAGAGGGAATCGAAGAATTTCAGGCGTAAAAATTATTTCAGAATACCCCCCAAAGCATGAAGTTTGAACAAGAATATTTAAACCTAATTAAAGGCAAAGAGTAAAGAAGATACAATTAGTAAATAACTTTACATAGAAACTTCTCAGAAGTTCTGGTGGCATAATGTTTTAAATGTTGACCTGATTGTCATCCTAAAGGTCAGCGGTTGAATCCGCCTGTCTGCTCTGCAAGCAAAGGATGAGACAGTCATCTGTAAATATTTATAGTCTCGGAAACCCAGTCGTCATAAATCCAAATTGGGTGGAGATGTGCGTTTGGCTTTGGATATAAAATTTGAGGTCCCTGCGTGGCACAGTTTAAACTCCAATAATGGAGCTGTGGTGGCCTTCGTGGTAAGGAGTTGTACTGCCAACCCAAAGGCATGCAGTTCACCCACCAGCTGCTCCGTGGAGAACGATGGCTCTCTCCTCCCCTGGGATTCAGTCTCCAAACCCAATGCGGGTCACCTGTGGCCTGGTTCCCATGGAGGCAGGTCACCGGGTCTTTGGCCTACCCAGCCATTGAGTGGGTTTGAATCTCCAGAATTTTGGTTCTAGGACAGTTTTCTGAGAAAGTTTGACAAAAATAACACATACTTTTAAAATATTTTAAATATATTTTTATATATTTATTTATTAATAATTTATTTAATTTAATTAAAATACTTTAAAATGTTTACCTGTAATTGATCCAATGGCATAGTGCCTAGGTAGCAACTTTCAATAAATGATCTATAGTGAGCGCTTAATTAAAACACTAAGCTCCCCGTTACACACGTTATCCTTGCCTTATCTTATGGATTAATAAACTGGGTCTCTCATGTCTCAACTTGGAAACTATTCACAGTCTAGCAAGGGATACAGATATGTAAAAAAAAAATTACAATATGTAAGACTGTGCAAAGGTGAGAAAGCCAACTTAGTGCACTTGGAAAACAATGTGTTCTCTAGAGCCAGACAGATCTGCACTCCAATCTCAACAACTGTCAGGTGCATAACCTCATGCAATTGGCAAAAGCTCCTTTTGTCCCAGGCTGTTTGTCAGTATCATAAAGATTATTGTGACTACCTTAATGGTTTAAATGATGATTAAGAATAACAATAAGTAGAGTTTCAGGAAATAATAAATCTGAAATAAAGGTTTTATTACATTATGATCTTTAAAAACAATTAATATACTGGGTTTCTGAGAGGTTCTATAACTGATGTAAAGTCATTCATCTGGTTAAAGGGCCAGGACATGTGGAAGCTGGATGCCATTAAAATAAATGTAAAGAGGGAAAGTGCCTCATACAAAGTAGAAACTTGGGATTTTTGCTTGTTTTTTTCTGACAGACAAGGTATAACATAATACTTGTCAAAGTTGGAACCATTTGAGCAACAAAATAAATCAACTGGTGTTGGATAATAACCCAAAATTTAAAGCAAACATGCAAGAGTCCATAATGATAGCAGTGAACATTGAAAAATACTTCATTATGTCTATGCACCTTTTGGAAGCAGGAGTGGCATCCACTACCTAAACAACATGCCATCAGAAACTCTTATGAACTTTGATAAATGCTGATAGTTACAGAAAGGCTTCAGGCCTTTTGTTCATAGGGTTACTATGAGTCATGCTCAACTCGAAGGCAATCATCAACAACAACAACAACATCATGCACCTTTCATGCAACATTCATATATTGATGGGCATTTATTTAGGTTGTTTTCATCTTTTTGCTGTTGTGTATAATGCTTGGATGAACAAGGTGTGCATGTATTGATTCATATCATGGCTTATTTCTCTAGAATATGTATTACTGGTAGATTTGCTGGATCATGTATTTCTATACCTAATCCTCCTTAAGGGATCATCATTTTTTTAAAAAAAAATTATTTATTTTATTATTTGTGTGTGTGTGTGTGTACCCTCAAATCAGATCTGACTGGTACAGGAGGAGATTGTCCCTCCTTCCCCGGCAGAGCATATGATGGATTCGACCTGTGCTCCTCTGGATTGCAGTGCAGCTTCTTGCCACTAGGCCATCAGAGCTCCCCAGGATCATCTTTTGCCCAGACAACAGACAGTCCTATAAAATGAACAGTAACATTCTTAAGGAGCACATGCCTCAGAACAATTAACCACATGTGATCAAAAAGGCAGTGTTTTCCCTAAAGCAAGGCTGAGAAGGCAGAAAGGAGCTGGAAAGAAGGATGAATGGATAAGAGCAACCTAGAAAGGAAGGGGGGAGAGTGCTGCTACACTGTAGGAGTTGGTAAGTAAAGCTGCAAGACGAAGTATCTATTAATTGTGGAATGGAAAACTCATTGGCTCTGCCAACTTTCACCCAAACCACAATACTTTTAAATATACATAATATTGAAAAATAAATAAATGAAGAGAACAGAGAGGTCTCTGATGCAGAAGAATTTAAAATAATCTATGCAGGCATTCCACCCTCAAGAACGACTCCACAAACCATGATTCAAATCAATAATTATACATTATGGTAAAAATATACTTAATGAAAAATAGATGTCATTTTCATGAATAAAGAACAAGGCTGGCTTGTTTTTAAGTTCTTTCTGCAAGTAGAGAAGTTAAAAGTTAGTAAAAAAGAAAAAAAAACACTGTGGAGGTAGTTGGAATTCAAAAGCCCTTTATGCTACTAAAATGTTACAATTCTTTTTTAAACTTCATCTTTTTTGTGGGCTCCTGGAAGATCTTTACAATGTCGAAAAGTAAACTGGAAGGGCACAGGAATCCTAGAACCTTAATTAGGCTGGTGGTTTATAAGCCAGAAAAAACTGCACAACTTCAAAAGTATGTGAATTCTTGTCTGGGAACTGATGGAGGAAATGAATAAAATTGAGATTCTATTTCTTGCTCTGCTCTCTTTAATTAAAAAGTCTTTCTCATACGGTGTTTTTCAGTCACTACTTAGAAACAAAACTCCTAAGATGTTAACCCTCAGGGTTTCCGGCCTGCCTAGGAGGAGGACACTCAGAGTTAAAACATCTAAGAGGGCAGAATATTTTCACATAAACAATGTCGAAGACAAGCAGGGAAATTATCATTTCCTTTGCTTCTGTTTAGGCAGACCGTATTTCCTGTTATCCCTTCCACAAAGGATTCTGCAACTCAGAGGAGCTGATTTGGAAGCTACAAGATGTTATTGCTTTTGATGTTATTTTTAAAAATATTTTTGGAAGCAAAAAAAAAAAGAAAATAGTATATTTGTTCCAAGAGATCAGATGTAATTGTTTTTAAATTCTTATAAGGCCTGAGTTTGCTTTTGATAAAAACAACCAAACATAACCAAACAAACTTTAACTTCCAATTGATATCCAAGCACTGAAAGAAAAGAAATGGTAAATTCCTCTGTAACCAAGAATCTCACTGCAACTCAGACAAGCGTAGATTAAGCAAATGAGAAGTCACACCTGGTACCTGAGAACCACCTGTCTCCACATACACCCTGAATTAAAGGAAGGAGCAGAACCAGGAGGTATAAACCCTTCTCTGGTGTACTCCCCACCCGCTTTACCACTCTCATCCCATCTGCTGCTCTCCCTTCAATCCTTCTAGGACTCTGGGCTCTTTAAGGACCAGAACACCTCCAGGCACACTCTCCAGAGTCTCTGCTGAAACATTCCCTGGCCTGCTACCTGCACACCTCCATCCTAGTGTTCTGCAGTTCTTCCAGATGCAACCTTTCCTGTACCAAAGGCACACCTATTTAAAGCATCTCTGCTTCTGTCTCTTTCTCTTTTTTCCTGCTTTATTCTTATATTATCTACTACCATCCGTGAGTCAGTTTGTTGTATTGTGAAGGTTTGTGTGCTTCTGTGATGCCATAAAATGTGCCATTGGTATTTCAGATAACAGCAGGGTCACAATAGTGAGCAGGGTTCTGTGGAATTTTCAGACAAAGACAGACTAGG